AAGTGTCATAATTTAAGAACATCATCTCCGTCAGCATAGCCAAGACCATGGTCGGAGCACCAGCATCAGCATCCCCATCCCCATCCTCGTATTGCCAGCACGTCCATCGTGTCATCATTGACTTTCTCAGCATCCCCGTCGTCCTCGTCCTCATCACACCGTCATCGTCGTCATCACTGTCCCGTGCTGTCACCATCTCTGTCATCACAATCATCACCATGATCATGACCATTACTATCGTGTCATGTTAGCCTTCTTCGTTATCAAAACCGTCGTTGTCACCATCACATTGCCATAGGCACAGCCCTTTCAACCTTGCGTGTACCTTTCCTGCGTCACTCGGCAGGGCTTCTACGCGGCTGTGAGGCAGTCAAGGGCCAGGCTGCAGCCAAGGCAGATGACTGCTGCTGTTCGATGGTTCAGGGTCTTGTGCTCTTCGTGTGAGTTTGTGTTCGTCGTCATTCAGATTGACCAACTGGTTCTGATTTTGGGTAAGTGGATGTTCTGCGGCCGTTTTGCATGTCAATGTTGGGACTTGCGACGTAGAGTCTGTAATCTAGGCATCTCGGTTTGGGTGTGTCTGGACGTTTAAGTTTCGGGTTTAGTCGGAGTCTAGAGTTTAGGGTTTGGGTTGCAGGGGAGGATGTTGGGGCTTGCTTTTAAGCTATGCGGCCTTACAATATCTGATGTGCGCAGCTGGAGGCGTGAACGTCGCGATCCGTGAGGTCAGAGCCTCAGTCCTTGAGGTTTGTTGAACTTTTGGGAGTAGAGGTTTCATACAGGGGTCGGAACTGTTTGTAAAAGTATCCCCTTGCGGCCCGTTCTGTAGTTACATGATGAGATAGCCCAGATCCCTGTGATACATAAAATTGGGGCCCCTGTATTTGGGGTAGTGAGAGTACCCTGCCCTGGTTGTGCTACCATGGCGATGATGGCGGCCGTGGTCTAGGGGTCCAATCTGAATCGGAATAATTTCGATGATCACGGTGCAGGTTTCAGGGTTTAGGGTTTAGGTTCTTAAACGAAACGATACTCAAGGAGAGTGGGACTGACAAAGGTGGTGGCGGCAATGCAACATGTTCATGTCCGTGATGATGTTAGTGTGAGCAGCACAGTCACAGCTAAAGACAGCGATGCTGTCAAACAGGGGAAAGGAATGCTAAGGATGATGGGGACACTAGATGATTACGACGATGCTGTGGCTGTTGCTACTGCTGCTTCACTTGCTCCATTTTGCTGCCAATGATGTTGATGATGATTATGGTTGTATGAAGAAAAATGACCGAAGAAGATGGCAACGACGATGATGATGATGATGACGATGATGATGATGACGGCGATCAGGCCGATTCAGATTCAATGATCGTGGTGATGGTACTGGGATGACAGTTGCGACGACACACCGCAGCACTGCTGGCGCTGCTGCTGCTGCTGCTGCTGCTGCTGCTGCTGCTGCTGCTGCGGCGGCGCTCATGACGATGAGGAGTATGGTAGCCCGCCATGGTGTTTGTAACCGATCTTGATGACAACCATGGTGATAGTGACAGGGACAGCAGTCATGAGAATGAGGAGGACTAAGAAGAAACCCGTGATTCAGAAACAGAAGCAGAGTAGACAGTACAGTGACAGAGAGGCTTAGGTCGAAAATGACACACCTCATGCTATAAGGTCGCTAAGGACGGCAGGAAGGACAAGCATCAGGATGACAACAGCTGTTTGATTCTGCGACTTCTGCCCCTAACTGCAAGTAGTAATCACCGTAATGTTAGTCGTCAGGATGGCAAGAACCACCGTAGATGAAGCAACCACATTAGAACTTCGCCTTATCATCACTGGATTCATGAGCCTGGCTACGTGTTTGCTCGCTGAACATCGCTGAGGTCAAGGTTGAGCAAGCTGTACAGATCACTTAGCGGGGCTTGTGATGAGTCCCACATCGCTGCTTAGGATAGGGTCAGAAGGTCCGATTCTCGGGGCCCAGGCCAATTGGTCACCGCTTCGTAAGCAGTGCGACTGCTAGGCAAGGCTGCGTTGAGTGTTGATGGACCTCTGCTGCGCCACCATACGATTTCGCTGACTTACGCTGGAGAAAGAGGCTGCGCTTGCTCACATGTGTCGGATGGAGCAGGTTTTTCTCAAGCACATCCAGAGTTACTTGCAGCTCTAGCGATGCTTCCACTCGCCGAACACACGCAGCTTTGGCCCAACACAGCTTGTCTTGAGCAGCTGGACCGTGGATCAGGCACCAGACTTTGCCTCTGTCAACATTGGTGTTGAGGGCCTGTGGTCTTTTTGCTAAAGGTGCTTGCTGCAGGGATTTGTTGCCCATCTGCACACTGCACACTTCATTTTATCAAAGTGAAAATTGTTGCACTGCCTTCCGAATCGAAGTAGCGAGCTCCGTGTTGGCCTGTACGTCTGTCTGTCTGTCTGTCTGTCTGTCTGTCTGTCTGTCTGTCTGTCTGTCTGTCTGTCTGTCTGTCTGTCTGTCTGTCTGTCTGTCTCACTGTCTGTCTGTCTGTCTGTCTGTCTGTCTGTCTGTCTGTCTGTCTGTCTGTCTGTCTGTCTGTCTGTCTGTGCATGCCTGCATGGCGTGTGTGTGTGTGTGTGTGGGTATGCATGCATGTGCATATAGTCGGTCACCGCCAAAGATCCACACCCGCCGCTTCCTCTTGACTGTACAAGTTGGTTCCCTAGCGCCGCAAATGCCGAAACAATCGTGCCTTTCGCTGCGTGCATGCAAACGAATCTCGGCCCCAGATCAATGATAGCTCATGTGTTGGAGTAGCTGAGAATGCTGGAGGGTGTGCCGTTTTTGTTAATGTGGTAATAAAAAGCCCTGTGGAATTTGCGTTTTTAGTGTTTTGTTGAATTGTTTGTTTAATAACATTCCTCTTACCACAAAAAGCTACACACCCTCGCTTGCAAATATATGTGTGGGCGTGGGCCATCTCTTTCCTGCTGCGCGTGAAGTGTCCGATTTTGCTTTTGCCTGGTGGGGCCTAGAGGCTCCAGCGATTGGCTTACGAATGACAAGACAGAGAGAGAGTTCCATTAGAAATGACGTATTATTGACACCTAACTCCAATGGCTATAGAAGGGATTTCCTCGGACTAAAACAAATGTTGCAAAGCAAGCCCCTCTTCGGCGATCGCTTGGCTACTGCGCCTACGCGCGCACCACACATTTTCCAAATGTACAGTAAAACAGTCGGCAGCGCTTGGCACTCCTAAAAAAACTCCAATGGCTGTCCTTTTCTTCATAAAAAATGGGACGATTCTTCCGTAAGTGAAATTTCATGTGCATATGAGGGCGCATAAGAAGGCTCCTCGGCAGCAAAAAGCAAGAGAGCACCTTCAACCTTCCACACATGAAGCAGGACTAAATACGGCTGGCTCTCTTTATATGTATCAATCAGAAGGCCGTGGCTCCTTATCCTTGTCAAACAAAGTAACAAAGTAAGATGGCACTTTATCGAAGACAGCTCCTTTTTGTCGCGTGGCACCATGTATGACAGCTATTCAAAAACAGCCATGTGCACAGCGATCACGATCTGCTTTTGAGGAGACAAGACGACGTAAAAGAAGGCTAATTTGGGCCATCCTGATACGTATCAAGCAAAAGTAATGCAAACTCCTGCTTTTCCAGAAAAACGAAAGATGGCACCTCTATTCTTTGAAGACTGAAGAGAGCTCCTTTTTATGTTGTGACGCGGATTATGACAGCGTCTAAACCACGGCCATAGACAGAGGGTTCGCTATGTTTATGTCAGAGTATGAGGGATGTAGCTTCAACAAGGGTTGGTATAAGTCTCAGGCCCATTGCCCGTTTAGTAAAAGATACCAATAATAAATTTCACTGTGTCTGTCGATCAGGTGTGAGGAGTGTCGCTGGAAGATTGGAAAGAGCTGCTCCGTGTTTTGTGCTACGTTCTGTGAAAGCTATTACAGAAACATCCATGAGCATAGCGATCGTTGTCTTTTTCCGGGGTATGCGACAGCATCATTGAGAGTTAGTTTAATGAAAGCTCATGTTTCATAGGAAGGCGCATAGTAAGTCTCCATTGCGCCGGAATGACAGCAAAATGTACACCGCATTCAGGCTGATATGAAGCAATCAGAATAAGAGACTAAGATGGGCCTTCGTCATACTTATCAAGCAAGAGTGATGAAAACTCCTGCTGTTCCGGAAGACTCATAAGATAGCACTTCCAGTCCTTGTAGGCTGATGAGAGCTCCTTTTTCTCTTGTGATACAGTGTTTCCTGTCCTGGACATCACGAATTTCCAACCCTGAAACTCACGAAGCACTGCAATGTTCAAAGAATTCCAAAAAGTCCAAAGTCCTGGCATCTAGAGCTGGGGGGGTGGCGAAATGTCCAAAGTTTAGGATTTGTCGAGCATTGCACTGTTTCGTGGCCTGAAATTCACAAAGAACACTGTAATGCTCAAATTCAATCATTTCCAACCCTGGCATTCACGAAACACTGTAATGCTCACAAAGTTCCAAAAAACTACAAAAGGTTCGTTCGGGGAATGTGGCGCCGGCCTGGCCAGAGATGCCAGATTGCATTGTTTTTTTTTTGCGGTTTTGGAACATTGCAGTGTTTCGGGAGTTTTGAGATCGGAAATGTTGATGCTTTTTGAGTACTGCTCAAAAAATTCCAAAATTTCCAAACCTGAAATTCACGAAACACTGTAATGCTCAAAAAAATCAAAAACGTCCAAGATGTTTGGGGAATCTTCACCCGGCGAAGTTCTTGAGCATTACAGTGTTTCGTGCACCATGCCCCATGAACCACAAATGCGCGGATCGTATAGTCTTGCCTGCATGTATTGCGTAAATCTCGAAGCTTGCATGGACGTTTATATTCTGTTGCATGAGCGCACATGCACTTCAGCCCTCAATCCTTTAGGCCCTACGCCCTAAACCCTAAAAGCACAAAGCCGTAAACCCTAAGCACCAAGCCCTTAGCCATAAGCCCCAAAGCGCTCTGCACAGATGGCCGGAGACGATGCTCTGACGGCTGCTGGATTCTCCGCCGATGAGCGAGAGGCTTCGACGGAGATCTCAGGCCGCCGCCTCGGCGCCCAAAACCCGAAACTCCTAAACCCTAAACCCTAAACCCAAAAACCGAAACCCCTAAACCCCCAACCCCTAAACCCTAAACCCTAAGCCCGGAGCCCAAAACCCGAAACCCCTAGCCCGAAATCCTAAACCCGGAGCCCTTGTCCTTGCACTTGGACAGCCTCCGGGCATGGCAAGGGGTATAGAATTTAGGGCTTGAAAGGTTTGAGGGTTTACTTGGAGGATCATGGGACTTAGTAACTAGGGTTATAAGTAAGGTAACTATATAATTATAACCCCAATTAGGGTACTTATAAACTTACTTACTAAGTCCCATGATCCTCCAAGTTGGGCCTTGAAATTCCGGGTTTTATGGTTTGGGGGTCGGGTTTTTGAGGGGACCTCGGCTTCGGGGTTGAAGATTTAGGGCTCACCGTCTGGGGTTGCAGCGTCCAGCGGACTCCTAGGCAGGGAAGCGAGATTTTTGGAGTTTTCCCTGCTTTCGTCGCCAGAAACTCGGAAGCTTCAGCCTCAAGTCCCAACGCTTATGACCCTACGTGGAGGATGATGGGACTTAGTAACTATAGGGTTATAAGATTATATTCATAACCTCAATTGGGGTACTTATAACCTTACTTGCTAAGTCCAATGATCCTCCAAGTAGGGTTTACCCTAAACCCTAAACCCTAAACCCTAAACCGTATAGGGTTTGGGGTTCAGGGTTTAAGGTTCAGCCTGCATAGGGCTTCGAGTTTGCAGTTTGCGCGAAGCTCCCTTCTAAGGTTGAACCCATGGGCCCCTAACATGGGCCCTTAGGGGATTCTAGGGTCCCTAAGGGTATATATATATATATATATAGGGTATATAGTAGGTATATTAGGGTCCCAGGGTTGAGGGCCCATACTAGGGGCCCATGGGTTCTACCCTAGATCCCTGGCAGGCAAGACGTACACCATTGCAAAAGCCGTGGAGGAGCGGCAACAGGGAAGTCTTACACTTTTCCGTTGGCCAAGACCCTGCATGCTTCTGCTTTCATGCCGCTTTCCGTGTCTTCTTTCAGTTCTGTTCATGCTTCCGTTCAAGGTCTCATCGTCGATTTTATGTACTACTAATGTTTGAGTTTCATTCTGCTTGCCGTTTCTTCTTGTACTGTCTTCCGCTTCTGTGCAGGCTTGAAGATGCAGCAGAAACCTGAAACTAAGTATTTTCTGGGATGTTCCATGTATTTACCATTTCCGGGTCAAGGGCCGGAGGGGAAAGATCAAAACCAAGCGGACACAAACGGAAGGAACCAGGACATCAACGGAAACGTGCTCGGGCCACTGTTGTAGAAAGAAGCCGCTTAAGCCCTTACAAGTGTCACAGTGGTCAGCGCTATTGGATTTTCCACACGACTTGTAACCCCTTTGCATTCTTGGTACTGGTAGTGTTCTTTATGGTCAGGAAAAGCAACAATGTTCGATCTTACAAAGCTTCCAATGCTGCTGTGATCTGTGTTATCGATACATTGCAGAGGCTTGCGCAGCAATCTCAGGATTCGTTTGAGTACACTTGATGTTCGGCTGCCCTCATGGCCACCTTTCGTGGTAAATTAACTGTTATATAGCTACAACCAGTAAAGACCAGAAGGTGGGCTGCGAGAAGGCGGTCAACTCTAGCATTAAGATTCTACCTTGCTACTGAGTGACCAGATCTCAAGAAATGCTATTCCGATATAGTCTTTATATTGTTGTGTAGCTACTGTGCCCGCTCAAGTCCCCAACATGTAATCGCAACTCGGGACGAACCTTTACAACACCCTGACAAGAATTTTCATAGAACCTTTATAGAACCGCATGAAACCCTCGCAGAACCTTCATGGAACCTCGGAAACTTGAGGACCAGCTGCATGAGGCGGTCATGGAGCGTCTGGAGGTGCCTGTTCTATGCGGTTTCTGCTCTGAACTAAGGTTCTTGTTCGGGGTTGACACTAATCCCATTAGAGTGTAGGGTTTGAAAGCGGTAGCTGTATCGGATGCCGAACTGCCATGTGATGGATCCAGGGGAAGCGGAACACACGTGAAAGGCGAGGCGTAGCGTCGCTATCGCGGTTTTCCCTTCTGTTTTCCCCTCTTGATTGATCACATTACGAAAGCCAGACTGATCACGTCTGTACGAGAGCATGCCAAGTGTTCGCACTTGCAGGGTTTAGGGTTCAATGCTTTTCAGGGTTAATGGTTTAGGGTTTTAAAGGAAGAGTTGTTTAGGTTCCAACAAGGAAAAGGACCCTAGCTTAGAGAGCTGAACGTGTAATTAATGCGAGGAACGCAGTAATGACAGCAACCATCGTGATCATCATCGGAGCCCAAAGAATAGCCATTGTATAGCAGCGGCGGCAACAGCCTTAGTCGCTACGGCGGGAAAGGGGGCGTCATGTTGAATGACAATTAAGCTAAACGGGTGGCCGATTCTTGATGCAAGCTGCTCGCAAGCGGGCGACAGTATGTCTTCTTTGCTGGCAAGGCTCTTGTGGCAGAGCAAGAGTCTGCATTGTGGCAGCACGGTCAGGACTGCTGCTGTGGCATGCAACCTCATCCGTGGTTGCGTGTGATGATGATGTTGGCGACGATGATTTTGGTGATGGGCATCAGGATGGTCGCTATGCTGATGGGGCAGGCAAAGATGAGTATTGCGGTTCTGATGATGATGATGATGATGATGATGGTAATGATTACATTGGTGTTGGTGATCATGATGATGGTGGTGATCATGATGATGATGATGACCATGATGATGATGGCGATGTGGCCTGTTGGTCAAAAGCCGGTCAGCCGATCTCCTAGCCATCGTAGCGAGGAAGAGATGGCACAGATGCAGCGGGATCACGAGAGTGCCGGAATCTGAGTTGCAGCGGGCGAAGCTAACGTTGTGAACATTTTTCAAGATTGAGGTAGTCTTGCAGTTTTGATCGCATCACACGCTGGAGATTAGGATTCCGGCATCACTGGATTTGTGCATAATAGCTGGTGCCACACCCTGCCTGTTTCCATCACTACCGAGCTGGAAGCCACACCCTCAACCCCATGCAAACCCTACACCATCCTACACCATTAAAACCACGACCTCACCCCCAAACACACACGTACAAACCACGGTTTAAATACTTTTGCAGTCACGGATGTTGGCATGTTGCTCCTGTCTTTATTGCTGTAAGTTTTTGGCATCGCCTTTAACTAGCCCAGCATGATGACGCACGTGTTGCGCACTCATGTATTGTACTTAAACCGTACGGTTGGTCATAGGTTGCAGATCAGCTCAGAACCTCACCACCCGGATCCTACAGGAAAGCAAAGCCCCAAGTTCAGGATGTTGCATGTTCTCAGAGCTTCCTGCGGCTCCGGAGGTTTACAAGTGCAAGAGGCCTGGGTTTAGGGGGTTAGGATCGAATCTACGGGTTTGGTCCAGTTTTTTCTGTCAGACTTTTGAGCTCCGAGTTTCAGCGTCCGAGGTCTGGGCGAGCTTGCAAGAGCTTGCAAGCCAACAAGCTGTGCTCAGGGACGAGCAAGCTGAAATGAGCCGTTCCGGGCTCGGCTTGCTTTAACGATCGGACTGAGACGCTAAGGGTGGAGGGTATACCCTAAACACCGACCCTATCTTCCGGTTTCCTGTCTATATTATATGGCGTCAGGAACTGTGGACTATGGTTCTTTTTCCAGGCGATTGTTCGGGCTTGAGCGGTTCAAACGCAGCTGGGTTTCTTCAATAGCCAAAGGAATCAGAAGCCTTTGGCCAGCCATTTCCTGACGCCTCATAGGCTTTTTTCTATGGAAGCCTCGTGACAGGCCCATAGCACTAAGAACAACGGCTGTTGTAACCACCATGTAAGACCCAAGTGAAACCTGTGCGATTCTTAACCAGAGTATCGTGGTACAAGGACCATAAGTCTCCTGTTTCTAATTTTCTGACTTTAGTATTGTGGGATCCAGGTGTTGGGGATGCCATGATTTTCGATTCAGTTGGTACTGTTCTAAGGGCTTTAGGAGGGACCCTTAATAGGGACTCTTGTAGGTTATTGGGGTTAATATGTAATGGGTTAGGGGTCCCTCCTAAAGTCCTTGGTACTGTAGTTTGACTCTTCGAGCAGCACTAACTAAACCCCTAAAAGCTCAAAGCGCGGAGCAGGTGCCATGCTGGAGCTTTCCAGCAGGCTTGACTTTGTGACGGAATTGAATGAGGCCCGGGGGGCCGCTTTTGGGTTTAGGGTTTAGGGTTTAGGGTCTATAGGGTCTATAGGGTCTAGGGTCTAGGGTTTAGGGTCTAGGGTCTATAGGGTTTAGGGTTTAGGGTTTTAGGGATTAGGGATTTTAGGGTTTCGGGTTCCTCGCCAGCCCTCTGGCCCGAAGGCTCTTCAGGTTTCCCGATGTAGAGCCGAGGCAGGCTGCAGGCCCGGAAGAAAGACCGTGCTTACAAGAGGCGTCAAGAAAAGCCCTTAACCTCCTAAGCACCCTAAACTTTGATCTGAAAAGCCTAAACTCTAAACCCTAAACCCTAAACTTTGATCTGAAAAGCCTAAACCCTAAACCCTAAACCCTGTGCCGGAACCCCTTACTTTCGCCGAGGTCGTGCTGCCCGGCGGGGAGAGATATCTGCCGGCGCCTTCTCCTTGGTTGCTTCAGAATATTCGTGTTTACGACGTGGGATTTGCGGTTTAGGGCTTGGGGTAATGCGGCTCTGATTGCAGTCGTAATGTTTCTACCGGGCTGCTACAAGGATTCAAAGCTTTTAGTTCGTTCTGCAGTCGAGTTTCAGGCTGGTCGTCTCCTGAAACGTTAAGTCCCCAAATCCAAATCCCTAATTCCCAAAATCGCGAAGCCCGAAACCATGACATCTGAAAATCCCAAGCACGTTGTGCCCCAAAAACCCTTAAAAGCCCAAGCGCGGCAGAGCTCTGAAGC